GAGGGGGGGGGGGGTGAAAACAGCTCCGAAACGCCAACCGTTGGTTCACAAACTTTACGTCATCATGCTAGTGGCTCTCTACAGTAGATAATCAAGCATATAGTTTGATTGTTACAATCAAATTAAGCCGATGATATATGTGAGAACAGAATGATAGAGAACGGCTCTATCTAGTGATGGGTCAGTAACTGAATTCATTAGACTAGAAAAGAGGGGTTAGAAACCGCGCTTGTATCGGTTACCCAGCTGTCAATGAGATGAATATAGATGTCATTCGCGAGTAACGAGGTGTACCGCTGACCGTGGGAACAAGCAACTCGAATCCGTTTCTCTTGAGAATGAAAATTTGAGTTTCAGTAGCCATAATCTATACGCTTATATTGTAGCTCGCATTCGAGTTCCGATAAATTTGGTTCATTCAGTGAGACAGCGTTTAGGTAGTCCAATTCGACTGGTTCTCTCCAATGTGTATACAAAACAGCCTCGTTGTTTGAAGACCACAGTAAATCTAAATGAGGAGAGATTCTCAAATTTACTGAAACTGGAATTTGTGTTGGAGACACTGGTCGACAGTCTGGGGATCAGGTGAAAATGTTTGTTCACATTTTTTCGGCAGAACATTTCGGAATTCACCTGTATTTGAGAATATTATGAAGAGCATTTCAGATCGCCCTCAAATCCAACTGATGTAGTTACCAAACGAAGAGGCTAAAGAAAATGTGTTGTGCCCGAAAACGGTAGTATTGGGGGTAGGGGTACATATTAATAACCGGCACTTTTGATTTATCGATTTCATTGTTCTGTGAGTTCGTTAGGGTAATGTTTACTGTGGAAATTCGCCAACCACTATGCACGAAGAGAGTAGAATTTAAAAGTGGATAATTTCCACAGCAGACCTTCTTATCTGCGACAGCAGGAGGCTTTCGAACTATCCAGCGAGATTAAATGGTTTTCTCCGTGGTTATCGAGTGTAGTCAACCAGGACTGCGTGACGAGTGCCACCTATGGAATAAAGACAGTAAAATTCATATCGTCGATCAATTACTTAACCGTCGCGTTCGAGGAAGAAGCGCAAATTTTTAAATCCAAGTAATATACGTAAGATGTATGGAAAAAATAGTTTTGCCTTCAGCCTACTATATAGCCGACAAAATCAGGTTACTGTTAAGGATGCCCATGAAACCATAGAAATTAAGACAAAGGATCGGATGATAATTTTAATACATACTGTGATGAAACCGCATTACTAACCAAAGAAAGCTCACTAGATGAGATATGAGTATCGGTGAGTGTTTACTTGAATCAACGGAAAGCAGATACGTTTACGTAAATAAGCCGCTGAGGATATCTCGAAATCTTTTCAGCGTGAGTTGGCAAGGCGAATGCTACGCAATCATAAGCGATTACGAGTAGAACATATAGGACTCCTTTATCATTCACTGTGAAACATATGTTAGCTATCTATGACGAGGTCGACGGCGAAAGGTCATTTCGGTTTATTTGCTTTGTCAGAAATTCACGGGTATCACTGCTTCTGGGAATGATAACGATCCATGGACGAATATCAACCCTTTGCTAACAGACTGCCTTGAGTGTGACCTTGGCTTTACCCTTGTTGATGCGTGTTACTCGTAACCCCTCCCCCAGTTATGCCCCAATGTTCTGAATTTATTATTTTTTCTATACAAACTCAGTGTTCTGGCCGAAACTTCATCGTGCTATTTAGCGATATTTTTCTTCCTTCACTCAGTGATATATATATATATATATATATATATATGAGCAGGTGTCTCGGGACACGAAAAACACCAAAACACCAAGCTTTGCTTGCACATTTGAAAGCGTTACCGACCAAGTTGAATGAATTATATAACAGCAGTCATATTTGATTGCGTTATGCATGCAAAGAGGATTGGCCTTTGACAGATGAAACGGGGGTTTTTATCCGAAGATCACTTAACACCCCTAGATGTATCAGCTCCCAGAATGGATCAAATAAAATAAAATACATTTTATGCGATCAACGCATTTTTGGAGAAGTGATTGCTCAAGCACAGATAGCATACGTCTAGTTGCTGGGCAGGCGATAGGTGATGGATACGCAGTCTGTACAAAAGTTGTGTAATATTACAGGTGATACGCGTGTAGACCGTTGGTCATTTGTAGAGCAGCCAGTGCGGCAGTCATTAACGACTGAGGAATATACGAAGTAAGTAAACCGAGCAATTTTAATCAATGCGAACTGATTTAAAGCATCTACTCAGTCTGGCTGCGAATATAGGTAGCCTTCATCCATCTGACGAAAGAGTGTAAAAATGGAATGTAAAGTAGATTCGTGGATTGATTATCTCTACACCGTATTCCATACTGAAGAAGGAGGGCGTTGCCGAGTCTAACAACAGCATTCCCATGCATTAAGATCAGCTTGAATGTGCATATAGGTCGTGACCATATATCAGTTTGTTGTACTGGTTTAAGCTTACAGAGTCTTTTTGTTACAAAAATGTTTGCACCAGCTTCAAACTGGGATCAACGCAGGAATCCGCACTCTCTTTATATACAACACATAAATCGGACGTCTTGCAATTTTTGTCTTCCTGAGCGTTTTCTAATTGAAAAAGTCCAGTTTGTGGTATGCCAATCGCTTGCTATCTATCAGTGTTCGGTCCAATTTTCATTTGGCCGGTAAGCAGAACTCACACAACTAAGACTTGCAATTCACATGCTGACAGCTTGTTCAGTTGTTTGATTGGTTGACTTTTCTCGTTTCTTGTGAGCAGCGACATTCCCAAATGACCCTTTCGGTAGCAACAATGAACAACTGGCAGTCCCGCTTTCCCGCGTTCACAGTCTCTGACACCACTCTTGGTGACTTTTGACAAGAAGGGTTACCGTCAACTTGTACCAGTTTATTCAAGATGCAGATATCACCGAAGGAGTACTACTGCTTAGGGGTTTGCGATACAATAAATGCTATTTGGAGCGTTCGTGTTAACTTTCAATCATACTGCCGCCAACCAGTTAAAATGATGTACTCACCTTTCAAAGCTTTTAAGTTGATCGAGTTTATATCGTTTGAGGAACGTTTGTTGGCTTTTCTGAGGATAAGTATACCGGAATCAGAAATGCTTACTTGTTGTGCCAGCAGTAATCAGCATCACATTGCGTCACCAGCCGGTGAAATAATACTGCTAAGTTGGGGAATGCCTTAAGTGTAAGTTCGTTTTACCTTCTTGGTAATCTCAAATTTAGAGATTTCGTGTTTTTGTGCGCATGTTGTTTTAAATGTATTTCCCACTGACTTGGTGCTCATCTGCAAGCAGACGCTGACACATAATACAGTCTCAATTTTGTTCAGCAACTAACAGTACAAAATTGGCCTCCCCACTCCGCTCGCAATAATAAAAGTACTACAGTTGGCCAGGTAAACCGAAGCACTGAGGCAAATGGTGTTTCGGTTACAAGGCATTTTAATAAAATAACTATAACAGGAACCGGTTTGTGTGTTTGGGAAACTATACAAAAGGCTCGCTCTCCATACTCGCACTAGGCTGTGTTTCACGCACTCGGGTGGTAGCAAGTGACTATCCCCAGTTCAACATCACCGTGAGTTATGTATACCGTGTGAGCCTAGCTAGGCCAGCACCTATTTTATATACGTCTTCATGTCCCAGGACGGATTTACTACCTTAAAAGGATTATTTAGGTGTTTAAAGGCTTCTTAATGGCGAGTTCGGTAAGATTGTGCTTACTGGCGGGTGCTGTATCAAACTGATTGACTAACTGATGGTTAGTTAGATGGATGCTTGATATTACGAAGCACGATTTCGTGGAGGTTGAGCTCAAAAAGACACATACCGACTGAGTAGAATTTCACTAACTGAAGTATAAAGCTAAATGTTTTTTAAACTACGGTGAACAATGAAGATGCTCACTGATATCCTCAAGGTATCCCCAAACTATTTTTTGTGACAATTTTACAGAAACAGTTACATTGTCATGATAAATTTGTTCATTCTTCTGTCGTCCTGAGTAATTGAATAGCAATAACCTAGTTAGCTGACTCTAGCGCAGCCTCTAATTGATGTGTCGGTTAATCAGCATGATAGTGCGGCAGCTGTCGGATAGATCAGTCTCGAGCGAATGCTCGTTTTGCTAAGGCCCATATTCTGCTAGGTTCTACATTG